TCAATAACTTATTGACCAAAGAGCTTCCCATCTACCAGTAAAAAGTGGGTTTTGATATGTCTCGATCACATAACTGCCCTGACTGAATGATATGGAGTCCTGAAGTATCATATCAGAGTTTTTAAGAAACACATGTCACTGAAGATATCAGCTTTATAATATTAACGGAGGACATTTACCAAATCGTGAAGCTGTACACTTAGTCTGAAAATAAACTGTACATAGAAAATGAGATTATTATTAAAAGAGGGAAAAAAAGTGAGAAAAATGTATCCTTCCATGATTTGTGTGTATTTTGATTCATTTGGGATTTCACCTTTACAGCCACACCTGTAACCTCCTAAGACTTCTCTATACATTTGCACTGCAGTACAGTGCCTTGGCTGCAAGCTCATGTCCTGCTGGATTCCTCAGTCTTCTCATCTGGATGAAAGCAGGGCCTGCATGAATATACCTGACTGCTTAGAGCAGGATACAAGAGGACAAAGTAATAATAATTATTATTATTATTATATTAATTATTATTATTATTTAAAACCACCACAGCCTGTCCCACTGGCATACTAACAGACATTCTCTAGCACATCTTTCTGAGATGATTCAAGGTGATGCTCCCCAGGTATCCACCTCCTGGAAAAGAAACAATTGTTCAAGTAGAGGAAGCAAAAGGTGGATGAAGGGTCAGCAGGGAAAGCCCTGCTCTTCTGACCTCAAAATCTCTCTAGTCCAGCAAATAAGTGCAAACTCATTTCCACTCACAGTTTAAACAAATGTGGGCAAGCAATTGTTAATTGTTCTGTTTCAAACTGCCAAATGTTTTCATCGATCTGTTTGACCAAGGCAGAGAAAAAAATGGAATGTAGAGCCTTATTGCAGCTGTCAGACAAAAGAAATGAGAGAAACCAACAGCTCAGATGAGTCTTCCCATGAAAGAGAACTGGTAACATTAGCACTGTTCTCCCACAAGACTAACAATGGCTGAAAATAACTGAAGTGCTTCATAAAGATAGACACTTAACACTGTTTTAGAAAAGCAGGAAAAGTCAAGAGCAATTTAAAAGATTTTTTTTTCATACAAGCACAGAATGCATTCAGAACATCATGAGGAACACCCACAGGAAAAGGACAGGATGATCTTTAAAAAAAATTGAATAGCGATATTGATATAGGGGAATAAAATTATTCTCAGTGACAGCCACCACTTCAGCAGGGCATTCACATCTTATGTGTGACAGTTTCAGCCACTGTCAGAGCTCAGTCGAGACCAACACGAGGATACAGTTGGCCTGTACATGTGGACTGCAGAGGTTTGAGATCAGGCTCTGCACTGCCTGCCACTTGCCACCTAGATTTCAGGTTTGATCTACTAAGGTAGTTCCTGTTCTTATCTTGAGGTTCCGTGGTTTTTTTGTTTGTACCTCTGGTACACGACAAGTTCATTTTCCTCCCATCTTAGGCTCATTTCTGATCACTTCTTTGATCAAAGAACTTCCTAGTGAATTAGAAACCCTCCTTTCCCACCAATTCCCATTTCACTCAGCTTAGTCTGAGATGAAACCTTGGACTTCTCCTCCCACAGGATGACCTGCAGCAGTAGAGATAAAGCAGAGAGTTTCAGAACCACATTTCTGGTCCCACTATTCTCCTTTAGATACCATGCATGAATATTCAAAAGGTTAAGACGACGCCATTTAGTGGTGTAAAGAAAGTATAAATTTACATGGGGCCCAAACTTTTTAGTTGGGTAGGCAACACAAATTAGCAGTTCTTTAGAAAACACTTGGCTTATCCACCTGGCTGTGTCACACGTCGTTAAGTTCATTTGTACACCTTCCATTCGCTTGGTTTGCATAGACTAGCAGAACTCTTTTTCCTCCAGAGGGGCAAGGCTAGAAGCTATCCCCCACATGGACTAAACAGCAGATGAGATATTTATAGCCACATTATTTATATTCTTGTCTCCACAGCGAGGCAGTGATGTGCTAATGTGGTAGTGTAGCTAGTTGCTGGTGTATAAAGAGCAGCTAACTAACTACACTGCCTAATCATCACACACAACACTAAGATCAGTCTAACTCCTCAGACCTTCTCAAAAAAAAAAAAAATGTGTTATTTCATTCCAAAGGAGACCTTCTTTAGAGCGTTTGCAAGAACGGAATGTGTTACTTCCTTTGTTTGGATTCTCCTACAAAAAGAGTTAACTGCATTCTCTAAGTACCAAGACAAGAATAAAGGTATCACCATGCTACCTGCGGCAGGGTTTGATAGATCACAGTGCAATATGATCAAAGGGATCAACATGCTTCCAGCCTTTATCCTTCCAACGTATAAAATGATGTCCTATTAAAATTGGGACTTCTAGTAGGAGTGCATGCACTTTTTAACCACACAGAGGTTCTCAAATCGAGTTATTCTAAGGAAGGGGAGAAAATATTTCTAAAGCTGACATTTTCTTTTCTAAAATGGAAAAGTAATTATTCTTCAGATACAGTATTCAGGCAGGTAGTGAAATGTGTCATTTTAAGCCAGTTCCTAACTGATCAGTTAAATTTTGCTTTTGCCAAATACTATTATAAAAAACTTAAACAAAATTGTAATCATAAAATTCAAAGGTTTTTAAACTCCACTTCTTTAAAAAAGGTTTCAGAGAGCTTAAAAATGTTAAGAACTGCTTAAATTATTTTCTTATTTCAAATATTTGTAAACTCTGTGTTTACAGGCAGAAGAAAAACCATCTAGATATCCAAAGAATTGAAAGAGAATTTTTAGTTAATATGAGATACAATATTGAACGTGAGCCTGACAGGGGGAAATAAATCATAGGATTCCTCAAAGGAAACAAGCAGTGTTTGTTGACGAAGGTACGTGGCGCAGGACAGCAGCTGCGTGTTAGCTGATGTCTGAATGTCAACCAGCTAACACACACTGCCACCCCATCACACACACGTGCACCACCCATGCTCCTGGAATAGAAATCCCCGACATTTTGCAGGGTAACTCCCTCTGAACTGTGATGAGCTGGCCCTGCAGCAGGTGACAGTGCAGTAGTGACTGCTACACTCAGATAAAGCAGCCAGCTAACAGTGCACTGCCTACCAGACACAGAGTTCACACATAACAAGATCACCCGTGAAACATCAGCCTGAATTTGAGGGGTCTCTTCTACCTCAGCCTGAATTCACTCCTGCTCACCTCTTTTGAGGTTTGGATGTCATAGGTATTCCACTTGAAATTGTAAATATTTTCATGAAACATATGGTAGAAATCAAAAAGTTTCTGACCCAGTAAAAGACCTGAACTGAAGTAATAGCATAAAGTCCACATGAAATATGATTAGAGTGAGATCCCAGACTGACTCTACAGTTCCTTTATGAACTGCAGCCAGTTTCTCACCTTAGTTGTATCACCATCAGCATTCTGTGTTTCTTCACCAAGTTAATTAGTATCATATACGCTTTATTTTATTCCTTTTCATAACCAAACAATGATTTATGATCATTGCTGGACTCAGGATCTTGGATTAGATGAATCCTGAATTTAACAAGTATGGTCAATTATTATTATTATTTTAAGTTTTACTTGGTTACTCCATAGTGGAGTAACTTATCTCACTGCCCTGAATTCTGAAAATAAAACAACACTGCAACATTCACTTGCCCTGGGGCTGCTGTTAGGAAGGTGCTGCAGCAAAGCAGCAGCTGTTTGACTTGTGCTCATTGCACAGCAGGCACAGGCGGCTCCCAGGTCGTCCAGGAGGCTGCTGAACGGGCCCGTCTGGAGCGCACCCAGCAGCTGCACGCACACGAGGACAGCAGCCAGCTAACGCGCACTGCCAGACCGACACGTTCCGGCGAGCTTCGACCACTAGTTCCCTCTCCACCCCCATCCCCACCAGCGTCTCTTCTACAGCCCAGTCATCACCCAGTGTACCAAAACGCTTTTCCCCACAGGGTTACTTCCATAAAATATTCACATTGCAGTGGCATTCTCAGCACACTGGTGACTCCCTTTCTGTACTGTGTGCACTGCTTATCTCCTGCTTCAGCATTTTCACTATGGCCATTTGCTTTTACATTTTCACCTCCCACTCCACCTGTCAGCATATTTGAATCTCACTAGAATGTGTGATTCTGGTCAACTCCTTAAGACAAGAGTTGCCTGTATTTTGCATCTTGCAAATATGTCAGGTGTATTGATAGTGATTAAGTCATAATCTACATACCTACTGTAAATGCACATTCTTTATTATTTCTTTTACTGTTATCACCCTCTAAATGTGGAAAAGAAACTTGCTTTTAAGTTGTAAGTAGTCCCTCTAGAGCCAAGAGGGGGAAACGCCACATTTCTGAATCCTCCATGGAATAGATACCACTTTGCCAGAACTTGCATTTGCTTTCCTAAGATTTTACAGCCTGTAGTTAAGCAAGCGTGATAAGGGTTGCTAGGAATGAGAAAAAAAAAAAAAAAACTATAATTTGTCTATTCAGACTTACTTAGATATTCTCAATTTTCCTCCTCCCCCTCTCAAAATACAAAAAGGGGCACTCTAAGTGCCACACATAGAGAGGAGTGTGAATGCCTACGTACACACTTACCTTAGCTGCTTTCTGTGGGGTTTGCTTTCTGCTGCATTTAAGCTCTTTCCCAAGTGCTCTCATGACGTCTTCCTCTGGAGAAGACCCCCACTGACAAACGCGTGGCTCTCACGGCAGCACCAGCTCCTCGCTCCTGCCACCCAAGCTGAGCTCCTGGCCGATCCCCAGTGCCTTGCCCAGGCTGGGGCAGAAGATGGTGGCCAGGGCCATCCTGGAAGGCTCGGGTTGAAGGCAGATCCCGGCACAGCACCCTGTCCACT